TATGTGTCAAGATCTACATCAACTTCCATTCTGATACATGTAGTGTGATTTCATATGCTTTAAACTTGAAATGAGTATTTTCTGTGGTAAAACCTCGTCAGGTGGCTCTGTTTCATTTTTGCTTTGGAGAAGCGTTTCACTGTTTTGGTAGTGTTGAGATCTCGCCGATCTTTGCATTTCTTCCAGGAAATCATTGTCATAAACACAGGAAAGTCTTTCCATCTCCAGGTCTCTGTCAGGTCTCTGTAGGTGTATTTGTGTGTCTTCATTTTGTGAGCTAGCAAAAGTTAGAAGAAAAATATTACAAAGCCACCCAGAAACTTTAAATATTTTTGCTCATTTAGAGACATACCATGTTATATTCTGCAGCAACTGACCCCCGATCATTGTGTAAAGGTTTTTGCTGCCTTTCATATATATATTTGAGCTCTTACAGAAGAGATTACTCAGATAAATAAGGCTACTTTACTTATTGCATACTAATTATCATATCTTTACAACACATCATCAAAACTGAGGTAGCTACTTCATTTGAAATGATTTTCCTCACCGATGAAAAATGTTGTTTGTCTGTTGTTGCTGGACATGACCTCCTCCAAAAAATAATCTAAAAGATGTTTGAATTTAGTAAATTTGAAATATATGTTTGTCAAGTATTTAAAAAGAAATCTGTGTTAATACTTTTACATCTTAAACACCAAAAACAATAACAAGAAACACAGTTTTCTAACCTCTTTACAGGATATTTTCTGTAAATGAGAACAGCACATCCAAAGAGGAAAATCATTCCTGGAAGCATGAGCCACAGCAAAAGGGCTGAAAAACAAAGAAACATTTTTTTTACAGACACACATTCAATTCAATTCAATTCAATTCAATAAAACTTTATTGATCCTGAAGGTTGACCCCGAAGGAAATTGGGTAAACACCATTCATGCCTGAATACACAAACATATACACACTGTTAGTCTTAAGTGCTACTTACATGATTCTGACAAACTGACTGCAGGTATCTTTTTGGTGTCACTTCCATGTGGGTTTCTGCCTGTGCACGATACATTGGTCTGGGTTTTAACTTTAATCTTTATTTCCCCAAAGACTACATGTTTTTTATTTGTCAAAGCAGAGGTGAATGAGGACAAATGGGTGTAATCTCCATTTATAATCCAGTATATAGAAGCATTAGGGGATGCATCAACCAAACAGATACACCTCAGAAGGTCTCCTTTAAGGTGGCACGAGGTCTCAGGTAGGATTACAGGGCGATCT